TGGGTGGGGGAGAGGGAGAGGAAGAGAGAGAGAGAGAGAGAGAGAGAGAGAGAGAGAGAGAGAGAGAGAGAGAGAGAGAGAGAGAGAGAGAGATGTTACAGATACATTTTGTTAAGATAATATATGTTAAATTTAAGGTCACGGGCAACGTCTGAATAAACCTAGAGAATTTACATGAATTCCTTTTCACCTCTACATAGGCAGAGGAAAATCTTGACCCATGCCGCATCAGATAATACATTTCTAAACGTTTTCCCTACTCTGTCGTCTTTCGGGAAGGTGAAGGAAAACAAAGAAAAGCTGATGAGATAACAGAAAAGTGGAAACATTTGGGAAGAGAAAGCGTGTGGTGAACAAACATTGACGAACTCAAAGATCTGGGCGAATGAAAAGGGGGACAATCTGTCCTTCTTTACATCGACGGCATAGGGGTATTTGAGGGTGTTACGGAATGATGCGATGAACAAATATGTTGTGACAAGCGGCAAATACTGTTAAGCTCACTGTTTTTGTACAAATATGCAAAGTAGTCGGAAGGCATTGACGAACAAAGTACGCGCCAACAGTATCAATGTACACGCTTACTGTTGAAGGAACGGTGCGGAATGTTCAGAGCTCATTTGTGAAATTGCAGGGCTCATTTTGTAAAGCTGTTAAGTCAGATGTAAAAAAGACGGGGAGTACATCAAAGCAGGCAACACATTTCTTCTTGGTCACGGTACGCAAAACATGAACAGGGTGAATTTAAAAGCAAAGCGACGACGAGTTTGTTTTACCTTTTAAGATATTGGTCGTACTTTCAGGTTGAGATGTGAAACGATGGCAATCTAATTCTAACATTGACATACAAATAAGGTGAGCATCAGTAGACGATCGGCAGTCGGATTTAACACCCGAAAGAGAGGGGCATGTTTTATAAAATTATGAATCTCCGATTCTGTGACTGTGTCTCTTCTTACGTATATCTATATAAGTATGTGTTTCTTTTTGTCTTCCTTTTCTTTTGTTTCTTTCTTTCTTTCTTTCTGTTTCTGTCATTCTTTCTGTCTTAGTATGTGTATGTGTGTGAGAGTCTCAGTTTATTTTCTTTCTTCTCATTCCTCGCTTCTCACTTTCTGTGGGCAGCTTTAGTCTCAGTTTATTTTCTTTCTTCTCATTCCTCGCTTCTCATTCCTTCCAAT